TTAATCCGACGAGCGATTTCAAGGGTCCACTCATCGCCGGCGGAGAAGCTAGTTCCAATCATATACTCTTCTGAATAAAATTTTCTTTTTGCTTTCTCTGTAAAAAAAACCTATCCAATCTCCGCGTCTTTGGTTTCCCAAGGTCATCAATGGCGTCTGGTTTAATCCGACGAGCGATTTCTAGGGTCCACTCATCGCCGGCGGAGAAGCTAGTTCCAATCATATACTCTTCTGAATAAAAATTCCTTTTTGCTTTCTCTGTAATAAAAATCTATCCAATCTCCGAGTCTTTGGTTTCCCAAGGTCATCAATGGCGACTGGTTTAATCCGACGAGCGATTTCTAGGGTCCACTCATCGCCGGCGGAGAAGCTAGTTCCAATCATATACTCTTCTGAATAAAAATTCCTTTTTGCTTTCTCTGTAACAAAAATCTATCCAATCTCCGCGTCTTTGGTTTTCCAAGGTCATCAATGGCGACTGGTTTAATCCGACGAGCGATTTCTGGGGTCCACTCATCGCCGGCGGAGAAGCTAGTTCCAATCATATACTCTTCTGAATAAAAATTCCTTTTTGCTTTCTCTGTAACAAAAATCTATCCAATCTCCGCGTCTTTGGTTTTCCAAGGTCATCAATGGCGACTGGTTTAATCCGACGAGCGATTTCTAGGGTCCACTCATCGCCGGCGGCGAAGCTAATTCCAATCATATACTCATCTGAATAAAAATTCCTTTTTGCTTTCTCTGTAATAAAAATCTATCCAATCTCCGCGTCTTTGGTTTCCCAAGGTAACTCATCAATGGCGACTGGCTTAATCCGACGAGAGATTTCAAGGGTCCACTCATCGCCGGCGGCGAAGCTAGTCGTCGCCCGAGCCCACGCATCGGAGGCCAAAGCCCATCAATCAGAATCCAAGCAGCAGCCAAACATCAAGTCATTTCAAATTTACCGATGGAGTCCAGACAACCCAGGTAAACCCGAGCTCAAGGAATATAAAATCGATCTCAAAGAATGTGGCCCAATGGTCTTAGATGCTTTAATCAAAATCAAAAACGAAATCGACCAATCACTTACGTTTCGTAGATCCTGTAGAGAAGGGATATGTGGGTCCTGTGCTATGAATATTGATGGTTGAAATGGACTTGCTTGTTTGACTAAGATCGATTCGGGTGCTGAATCGACAATTACGCCGTTGCCACATATGTTTGTGATTAAGTATCTGGTTGTGGATATGACTAATTTCTATAATCAGTATAAGTCTATTGAGCCGTGGTTGAAGAGGAAGACGGAGCCGCCGACGCCTGGGAAGGAGATACCGCAGAGTAAGAATGATAGGGCTAAGTTGGATGGGATGTACGAGTGTATTCTGTGTGTTTGCTGTAGCACATCATGCCCTAGTTACTGGTGGAATCCTGAGTCTTATCTTGGTCCCGCTGCACTGCTCCACGCTAACAGGTAGTATTTCTTTGATTCTTTGTTCCTTTGAACTTTTTTGTTTTCATGTCTAGGCTCTTTCTTGTTTGCCTTTACTTTCTGTTGACGTGCTGTATTTGGCTCAAATATGAAGTTAAAGATAGCTATAGTCAATAAAGATTGTAACTTGGTGTGTTCCTATCTGCCTAAGCCTTAGCGGTTAGAGTTACTCGGAATTTGTGCTGATGGGAGGTAACTTAACTTGTTTCCTTTTCTTGTTGGAATATTTGAGTTGTGCACAAGCTGGCCCGGACACCACCATTATTAAAAACGAACTATAGATTGTAACTAGGTGATTTCTTCTCCTGTGCCCAAACCTTGATGGGTGGAGTTACGGAATAGTCGAGGTGTGCTCAAGTTGGCTTGGACAACACTGTCATAAAAAACCAGGCTGACTACTGGTTTTACTCCCTCCGTTTCAATTTATGTGTATTACTTTTTTTAGACTATTACAAAAAGAATATTCCTATATTTAATAAGTTAATTCCAATAATTCCATTTCACACGCAATGACACTCTTATAGGAGTGACATGACATGTTTAAGACCAAAACTTTCAAAGAGTATTTTTGGTATTGTTCTACACGCCCTTAGTTTCGATCACAAGATTCAAAAACTTTCTTTACATTCTTATGTTTCGTGCACAGTTAAACTAAAGGCATAAAACAAAATAGAGTGAGTATTTGATTAAGAAAGTCGTGTTTCTTTTATGTATGAGATGAATGAATCTCTTTTCTACAAGGCGTATTTGGTAAAACACTATGCAACTTTTGGAAGAAGTTTGATAAATCATATGCTGAAGGATCTTATTGTATGGTAAAACCATGCAACTTTCATGGATGTTCAGTCATTGGATCTTATTCTGAAGTATCTCATCATTAGACAATTTTGAAACATATTGATTTTCTGAACTTCTAATACTTTTTATTTTATTTTATAAAGTAATTGATTTCATTGCTGGCATCCAGGGGATGCAAAGCAAATTAGTTACAAAAGATGTATAGCAAAAAGGATATTGCTAGCTCCATTACAGTTGTTTAGAGTAGTACTAGGGAGCTAACAAAATTCAGAAGAGTATCAGGGGGATCTCATTGGGGATAAATAAACCCAACTATACAAATACATTAGACAACTAGATTTTAGACTTTGGAAAGTAGTTGATTCTCCATCAAAACATCTTATGTTTCTTTCATTCCAGATACTCCAAGAAATAGCAGCAGGTATCATCTTCCAAATTTGTATGTGCATAATATTGGCATGAGATTAGTTTAAATGGAGTAATGTGGTCAGTGAGGATTTAAATGAGTATCTCGGCTCTCATATTAGCTAGTAAGGTTCTAAGAAACTAGTAAGCTTTTAGAAGTCCTTTACTATTCTTTCTTAGTGTGGACATCTCAGTTGAGAATGGGAGAAGTTGAAAGCATGTGCTGGGCTGTCGCCATTCAAAAATGACGTAAAACTGAAATGGCTTTCTTCTATTCAGTTCTACAAAATTGAGGGATGTATTATGTTGAGTGTTATTATAGGGATGTTATTAAACCTCAGGCCAAGCTCAAGCAATGCAGTTTTAGATTTACGTGTCCTGAGATGTACCATTGTTTATTTAGGCATTTGCATGATGGGGGAATAACAGTTTTGGATGTCTAAAATGTTGGTACTAGCCTTGATTCTGTTACTTTCTATAAGAAGTTCTACAACATTAACCCCACTGTCATTGGTATGCCATATGCTGCCTATTATTATCTTTACTGAAAAGTATTTTTTCCTGCCCATGCTTGCAATATACTTAATAGAGGTTATGTCTTATTTTTGAAATGCAGATGGATTATGGATAGCCGTGATGAAAATACTCAGGAGCGCCTTGACGCAGTTAATGATGAATTCAAGCTTTATCGCTGCCATACTATTCTGAACTGTTCTCGTGCTTGCGCAAAGGGATTGAATCCTGGGAAGCATATTCAGAATATCAAGCGTCTGGAGCTTGCATCTTGAGCCATCAGTGATGTCGTTCCAAGCTCTTTTGCTAAGATTTGATTTTGAAGGACCAGTAGGGGGTTGTTTCTCAAAATAATGTATGCACAGATTGTACTTTTCTCTGTGAGATCTTTTTTATACTTGAATTTGAGATGAAAGGTGCATCTCTCTTAAATATAATACAGTATCATTTTCAAGTATATTGCTCCATAATGCATGAAATGTGTGTGTGTGTGTGTGTGTTCCCTTTTATAAGTTATGTATAGATATGGCTATGTTTTTTCAAGGATGGTTGTTTGGGATGTCCATTGGTGCTTCCCTTTGTTTTTCCTTGACGATGTTCAAAGTCAAGAGATGAGCTTTATCTCCTCTGCCGATGTGGTATTAGGTAGTTGTCTAATTTGGTTCTGTATGATGTTGATGCAATTCAACTTCTATTGAGGATCTTTCTTGTTGATTAGGCATTATTTGCTACAATGCCATCATTTGTGTGCTCGTAACTTGGGATGCAGGAATTGTGAGTGTCTTGCAAGTTTCTTTTCTTCTTTGGGTTTGCGCTTTGCAGAAGGAAGAAGGAAAGAGATGTAGGAAACTAACTCTCTTAACCTACTTATTGGCAGGGAAATTTTGCAGTCGATTATGTTTATTTCTGAAGCCAAATTGAACAAAATATTTTCCATAGGAAGTTCTCCCTGGAAAAGGTTTTACCTTGAGATTTAAAGATTGCAGTAATGTTTAAATTTTGATACAAGCAAGTGATATGGAGTAAGAGTTAGGACTATTTGTAAATGACTTCCGCCCATAGCTGAGATAAGTCATTTTCCCACCTTCAAAATATTATTCTTTGGACAAATTTTCTATTAATGGAAAATCTGATTTTTTTTTTATAGTGAAAATGTAATTATTGATGGAACAACTGGAAATGATTTCATCGTGAAATATTTTTCAATAAAAGCTTACCACACTCCAAAAGTTACAGTTCCTCATGTGTGAAGTGTGACGATTTGATTATAAATTCGAGTGAATACTCAAAACTAGTACAAGGTAATTCATATATTTGCACAATATTCAGATGATCTCCTAGATAACCATTAACCATATAACTAGTTTTTATCTTCACGAGGTTTGCTCAACTCCTAAACTAGAATATTAATATAGAGATCCTATTCCTATATAATCCCCACCTAGCTGTACCTAGAACCAATATCAGATGCTATGTTGTGTTGAAAGAAGAAGAAAAAGAATGAAGTTATTAGTAGTAGCTAGCTTTCTGGTGTATATGGTGATTATTCAGAATATGAGTAAAGTTGGAACAAGCACTCGCCTTCCCTTTCTAATAAATCTTAAAACTGTGGAACCATATCAATACATCACAGTAACAGGTTACTCAAAACAACCCATTTCTGCATTACGAGGAGATTAATCCTTTCATATTTTACCATTAGGTGGATAATAAACTAACAATCTTGCCACATTTTTCTTCTACTAATAGGTTGTAACAACAACTGCGACATAGCCTGTTGCTATTGTGATATCACAAAACAGCCACCTCTCTGCGTCCAGTGCTGCTGAGAAGAGCGTTGAGACCCTGAATTTGCAGGTAATTCATTGATGCATCTATCAAATTCAAGAAGAAAACAAAAATGGTGATTTTGGACTACAAGTTGTATCAAAAGATTGGAGCCTTAGATCTCAAAGCATGCTAAGTTACAGCTTCTCTTTTAGCTGCATTACGAAATTATGATTCATTATGTTCTTCATCAATTTGTTCTATTTCATGCGATGAATCTGAGGTCATATTTCTTAGCCTTTATATTTGCAAACAGGGCTATTCTCAAGTTTCTCAACTGCAGCAAAAACAGGCAAGAAATATATTGGTCAACGAGTGTAACTGACGCTTTCTTTTATGCTTTTTAAATATGTTATAAAACAACCCAGTATAATCCCACTAGTGGGGTCTGGGGAGGATAGTGTGTACGCATACCTTACCCCTGCCATGGGGTAGAGAGGCTGTTTCCGATAGACCCTCGGCTCCCTCCCTCCAAGAAACTCCCCACCTTGCTCTTGGAGTGACTCGAACTCACAACCTCTTGTTATAAAAAAGATGTAAAAAACCATTGTATAGAATTCGTTGAATTTTGCTCTCGTTACTTACAGCATACATTATATGCTAGTATCAAATTTCATGAATTCCACAAAATTGTAACTTCCTAAATGGCATGGCTTCACTTCAATATGAAGATCAAGGCATTCGTCTGTCGTACCAATTCATTGGTAATTGGGATTCGTTTGGTAGAGAGCATGAAGCAGTTGAAGCTGGGCCTTGATTGGGCAGCATAGTCTAGACAAGAGCAATCTGGCAAGACGTCCTATTGTTAACCTCTAGTATCTAACAAGTTACAGTTACTATATGGATTCAAATCTATATCTCAAATATAAGAAAGAAAGAAAGAAAGAAAGAAAGTCATAAAATCGATTAATATCCATACAAGGACCAGCTACTCCAATCTTCATGACAATATAATAGGCATTTGGCTATCTCATCCCCTCGAAAAACAGTTAAAAAGGGTGTGGGGTTGGGGGTTTTGTGGGGGGTGGGGAGAGAGACTGGGACTTTCTGAGCTAAATCCTGCTTCTCAAAATTGAAGGGCAGTCCAAGTTAAAAGAAGAGTACTTGATTTCAGAGTAGGCTCATTATTCATTAAAATCTGGTAATTTCCAGCAGGCCACATATTGACTTGTAAAAGCAGCAAGTTTGATACAACTCACTCACATATTGACTTCACCTCCTTCCAACTTTTTGAGTTTATAGGTAATGGCTATTAGTACTGAGCTAATGTACTAAAGAGACACAATAAGGTAAAACTCACAAAATGAGTACCATATCTATAGCCTCCTCGTAAGTTCAAGAAACACGACAGCTGAAGCAATCTGAACTTTCAAATCTGCAATATCAACATCATGGCCGCCTTCAACGAGACCCCAACTGTCAACCTAGAAGAAGCCAAAGAAAAGTCAGCACTTAAACTTGAGGAACAACTCTGGGTAAATGATGGACCACAGCCCTGGCGGTTAATGTATTTTAGGATACACGAGTCCTAGAAAAGATAATGAAGGAAAATTGACTGTAGTACAAACCTGCAAATCTTCCTCGAGCCTAATTAACTCAATAGCCTCTTCAATCCCCAATCTACCACGGAAAAGTCCAAGTGCAATGACTAGCGAATGTGCAGCTGAAGCGATTGCATCAATTGTTGCTAATTCGCAATCATCCATTTTCTTGAGAAGGCTTTCAATGGCGCTAACAAGACCATCATCTTGCTTGCCACCAAAAAAACAGGTATATACGGCTGGCTTGAAGCCAAATTCTGACTCTACCCACTTAAGAAGAGGATCGATTTTCTCCACTTGACGCTCTGTGAATTTCAAATTGTCAGATTAATATGTGAAAAGTACTATTATTATGAAACCCAAATGAATTGCCAAAACAATCCGAGAACTGCGGGCCTGCTGGTAAGCATACTACAAGAGTGGATCATATTTATGCTCAGAATCTGGAGTCAACTCTTCTAGATCTCATGATAATACACAGTGCAAAAAATAATTAATTGTAGGTGCTTTACAGCTAGCCAAATAGATGAAACTTTTGAGCGCTAAGCTAATCCCTAAAGAAGGACCTAACAATGTTACAAGATCCTAGGATCACTTTAATATGTAATATGCTCCACTAAATACGACAGTAGTTTGTTCTAGTTCATCGCAGGAATCAAAAAGGGACTTCACGGTTTTCAAATACAACAAGGGACTAGAATAGACAGATATCATCACGGGTGCTGATACTTGTGCTCCATGAAGTTAGTTCCCGTGCTCCGTCAACACTGAAATACAGTATGCCTTTTACCAACATTGAAAAGTACGTGGCAATCAAATGATGTTTCATTTCGTTTTCTGTTTTGGGACCAGTGTCACAACCCAAAACCATCAATTCCCTCCTCCAATATGAAAACTGTGGTGAAATCTCATCCCCCCCTCCCTGCCCCAAACCAACCAAATCCTTCTCCTCCTTCTCCTTCGTTACAGCCCTTCCCCCGGCACCTTTCCACACCTCTGACCAGTGGATCCTACTAGGTCTTCATTGTTGCACATTAGTCTCAGATCCTTTTAAAGTCAAAACGGCATTGGAGCACAACCCTAGTCCAACCATGTCATGTCCGACCAGTTTCTCCTCACGCAACCCTGTAGCCCCTCTTGGTAAAACTCTCACACACTAGCACTCATTGCCCCGTCACAAGTTTTTTCTTCAGTTGATTGAAATCAAACCTTGAAGATAGTTCCTTTTCTACCAAGGAAGTAGCGTGGTTTCTGGGACCACCAATATACTAAGTGAATCTCTAAGGTACAGTTGTATAGAAGCCAGCTAGATTTTTTGCAAGCTTAAATGCTATCTACTCATTGCATCTTCTTGATGCCTTTTATTTAATCCACTTACTTTATCACCCAAAAAAAAAAAACTAAGGTACAGTGGGAAGTTCACATGTAAATGGAGTGGAGGAACAAATTTCCGGAGCACAAAAATCAGCGCTGTGTTATCATTTCTGTCATGTCCTCCAAAATTTGAAATAAATCTAATATGGGGCAGCAGAATTGTGTTTTCACAAAATGCTCAATATTAACATCAAATCCTTGATGGGAAAAAGACAAACAAACTATTGACCATTTAATCTCAAGATGCATGAAGTCTGAGATGTTTTTTGACGCATAGGCAGACAGAGAGCCTTGTCTAGATGCCACTGTTAGCCTATTAGTAGCACAATCAGAAAAATTCACAGAGAAAAAGAAACACTCCCTCCTTCCAAACTCGAAATAAACTAGCTAACAACAATATGGTATGTCCTCGGCAAAGACCAAAACTGATGGTGGGTGAGATCTAGACATGCAAATACGGAAAAATAT